GGATTACATTTCTTAGAAAATACTTTTCTCTAGTAAATACCAAAGGTGAAAAACAGTAAGAATGGTAAAATGGTCCCCAGTCACTTAAATTACTGATGAGCATTAACTACTTGATAATCTGGTTTTCAGAAAAGTACTACTGCCTAGAGATGATTAATAAAGTATCTAAAATAGTTTTGTTTTCTATTTGGCTGATATATGGCTAATACATACCCAAAAGGTGTTCTTTTCATGGTGAAAAGTTTTTGTTTTTCACAGTCCAGTTTTTCCCCCATATTGTTTTCTTTGATCAAGGTTTCTACTAGTTTGTCAAGAATATGTTCTCATAAAAATCTATTTCTGTTGATAATCTCATTTTAGAAACCTTTTTCTTATTCACTATTTTAGCTTACTCAAATTCTTGATTCTCATATATATGTACCCAGTTCCAACAGAAGTTACATATGATTTAGAACATGTGGATCTCAACTAGGGATGATACTTCCCCCAGGAAGCGTTTGGTCGTCACAGCTGGGCAGTGCCTAAACACAAGCCCCTACTGGGATGCTGCTGAACACCCAACAGTGGCTGCACAGGACAGCCCCTACTATGAAGAATCATTGGACTCAAAAAATCAATAGTGTTGAGCTTGAGAGATCCTGATTTGAGGTGAAGCAAAGCAGGCCGTGCCAAGTCAGTATTTTCCTGCTTTTGCCATCTTTATTCCTGGTTTTATAGCATGAGGGGTTAGTGGCTTTGAGAACAGTCTGCTGTCCCCTGTGTTTTATGTGACAGCTACAGTAGCGAGCTCCTCCTTAGTCTGATGCCATTTGCCTTTGGGACTGTCCTATCAAGAGACAGGCCAGGAGCAGTGCATATCAATCCTGTTTTAGATTGTACATTCTCACTGGTTGGCACACTAGAGTATTAAATTTGTGTACCAATTTAAATCCTAGTGTGTTGGCATATCTTGCTCACCTTTTGCTAAGTTTAGATATAAGTGGATGTATATCCATCTATACATAGTATGCAGAAACTTTTAATGTTGACTTTCTGGCCATAAGGTCTTTACTATAAAAATGATTGCTAATTTTGTTTTCATTTGTTAACATTTCTTATTTTTGTTTCTTGTCCATATGAGTATTAAAAATGCCAAAATTGCTTTAATAATCTAAATAATAGAGAACTACTTACTTTCAGCCACCATTATATTTATTCTGGTCCCTTTGGAACTCTTTATTTGGTGGCAGCAGATTTGGGGTAAAGTAATAACCACCTGTATCCCGTTTATATGAATAGCTACATAAACACACATTGGAAGTAGAACTTGTAGTTTCGGTGATTTTCCTTCTTCTCCTCTGTGGGAACAATGCTTTCCAGCTGTTTTGCAATTTTAACTGCTTTTATGCTAGGATGTTTATCAGTCTGTAGTGTTTATAGGCCATACCAATGACAGATTTTATTTTTCTTTTAGGGCCATTGTAACAGTAGTTATTAGAGGATCAGTAATCTTCCCTCATTCTAAAAGAGACTTAATGGTGCCAAACTGAAAGCCTTGTTTAGCTGCTTCTGCCTCTGGTTGTCAGGCTTGCAGGTAGCACCCAGTTTGAGGAAGTGCTTATTGTCAGGGTCTGGGCTGGTTCACCTGTGGACCTCATAAGACACCTCAAGATGTTGAGTTGACTTCTATCTCTTGTGCTTTTTAATAGGCTCAGGTTGGTCCCATGCACAATGCTTTTAAAATGAAATTACACTATTCATTTTGCTTTTGCAACTGTGTATGAGGGATAAATGGAACCCAGAATTTTGGTAATTAAAGAATGAGCCTCACTTCATTTAATAAGATTGATTAAGAAAGCCATAGATTAAAGACTGCGTGAAATTGCTTTGAAAAGTAGTCAGATGTCTGGAATAAATAGAAGTTTCTAAAGACTTTGCATACTTAATTTAATTTAGTCATGTGGATTTTTCTCTCAGTGGGAAAAAAATGAAGTAATTCTAATTTGATCATTTTCCTGGTGTTTTGAGTGGAGCCTTAGAAAGCAATGATTTTGTAATGGTACTGTGTAACTTACACTATCAAGAAGCTAGAAGGTTAGAACTTTTAAAATTTGAGTTTCTAGGGTAGAAATGCTTCAGAGAAAGTGAATGATTTGGTGAATCTGAGATAGAATTTAGCTCTTTGAAGTGATTTGAACAAATTGTGTGGTACTCAAAACAGAAAATGCATTAGACCTACCAGAATTTATGATGTAATTTTTATATAACTTAAATTGTTCATTTTCTGTTTTGAGTATCACATAATCCTGTATCTTGATATTTGTACCTCAGTGTTGAATGGTCTTCACTTGTTACAAAAGAGCAACTGCTACAGCAGTCACTGGAATGTAACAGCTTTGACATTTGTCACTCTTTCTTAACAAATAAAAAGCCAGCAGAGGGAGCTCAAGAACTGTTTAAGAAGAAAAAATATCAAGAAAATGTTTTTCGTATTCATTTGTTCATTTATGCAAGGCATATGTTGACTTTATACTGAGTATAAAGTGTGAGAAAAGGCCAAGAACTGTACATTTACAAATTGGGAAATTGGGTTTTAATTGTGAGATAAGGAGAATTTAAAATTCTTTGTCCACACTAGATCACTTAACAGTCAACTATAGGAGTAGCTCAGGGAACCATTAGCACAGCAGTCCTAACAGCACGTTTGGCATTATGATTTTCCCCTTCCTTTCCACCCTCATCATGGATGCTCCCATCCTTGCCACTTCCGGTGAGTTCTGTGGGCTTGGATCTTCTCCATCTGAAAAGTCCCAACCAACAGTTTTACAAAAACAAAGCCTTAAAGCTGCATTAGGCCAGCCTGTTGGGAAGGCACACCAGCTGGTGATGGCAGGCTCTTCGTCCGTCTGTTGTGTTGAGGACCAGTGGGGACACTCGAATTTGGAAACCATGGTGCTGTGGCTGTACCGTATCCCACCAGATGGCGATGTTCTTTATCTTTAAAAAGATGCTGCCAGTGTTGGCCTGGCTTTTATTTGTTTCTGTTCCTAGCCCAGAAACCAACATCTACCAGATTTTGGCATCAAGTTTAAATAAACCAGCTCTTTCTGTCCATAAAAACTGGCACTTGTCGATCATTTTTAGAGCATTAGGAAGCTCTTGGGCTCCCTCTACTGATATTAGATTAACAAGTAGGTTCATTAACAACGATAAACATTTCCCAGAAGGTTTCAGTGTCTTGCATAATTAGAATAAACAATGAAGGAAGGCAGCAAGGAGGGGCTGGTCTCATGGTATCATCTGACTTCTGTTGCCTAATGCTGAAGAGCCTAGAAGCAGACCTCTGAAAAGGGTGTCGGCTATGCTTGCAGATGTGTGGGGAGATCACAAGTATGTACACATATCTGTGTCTCTCTGTGGGAAAATGAACAGTTCTTGGCTATTTAAGAGAAGAGAAAGGCAAAGACAGCATGGAAAAGATGTGGCTTTAATGGGTCTGTGTGCTCTTGCTACCTTGACTGTCCTTTGCTCGTGCCCTACGTTCAGCTTCCCATCAGTGTCTGAATTTAGACTGTGGCCCAGTATTCTGAATTATAAATGAAGGATCACACAAATTTCATAGTTTTAAAGTCTCATAATGTGTATCAGTGTACTTTAAAATGAAATTTTTGTTTGGATATTAAAAATAAAGCAGCAGCCTTCTCTTGAAGTCCTGTGTGTTATGTGTGTAGAGTAATACATACATACAACTTGTTGGTTAGAGAGAGCCATCACTTTGGCTGGTCTTTGGAGTAAAGGGTTATACTGAGGTTGGTATAGGGGTAGCGAGCTTCATTTCAGGTGAGGAAGTGGGTGACATTGCCAGGTAAGATAATACAGGCTGAATTTTTATCTGTTTCTTCTTAGAAAGAATGAAACTTGAGCTAATTAAAATTTTTAGAAAATATGTTATAGCTATATAGATATAAAGTTTCATGACTCTCTGAGTGAGTGTGGAGTCTGCTGAGGGACCACATGGCAAGTCTTGTAGGAGGTGTGTCCAGGCACCACGGGAGGGAGGGAGGCAAGAACTGATCTGAGGGTAGCATGGAGGAGTGAACTGCAGAAAGGAGAGAGTAGCAGATGCAGGTGGGCTAGGATTGCTGGGGACTGAAGTGAGTGAGGGCTCCTGTGGGGGCTCAAGTCTGCAGGGTGATGTCAGGGGGAAGCCCTGCGTTCACTATGAGGAGTCTGGGCTTGACTGTACAATGATGGGGGCCCTCAGCAGAAGAAAAGTGGTGCAGGCAGATCTTGATTTTAGAGGGACCTCTCTGGAGCCACATAAAGAATAGGGAACTCATTCTCTAGGAGAATATAGTTTGTCATAATACCAGCTGAGATTATCCAGTGGTCAGTACTCAACTAAGTTTCTTTATAACAATTATGTATTGATTCTCTAAAAATACCAGTGGATCATTTTTGTACTTTAGTGATTAATTCACATTGCATTTGGTGGTATAAGCTATTAAATAATTGTAGTATTTTATTTTGGACAGTTGTGCATTTATCTGTTGAAAGGAATGATAGAGTTGAAATTCCCATTTCTTTTTATCTTCCTATAAGAGTGTGTGTGTGTGTGTGTGTGTGTGTGTGTGTGTGACTTTCTATTCTTCTCAAGTGTAAATTACCTATTTTGTGTATCTCCTGGTTGCATGCCCATCCCTGAAATTCCAAGTGGTTTTCACAGTTCTCCACCATTTCTGCAGCTTCTTCTCTTGTTTTTTTTTTTTTCTTTCTTCATTTTGAAAACTAAAATGCTTTGCAGAACTTAAAACATATTCTTGGAGTGGAATGTTACTTGTTAACAAGTGTAGAAAGAAAATTTTAGGATGTAAATGCAGATTATCTTATCATCTAATTTTTGTGTGTGTTGGGGGGTAGTATCCGAGAGTACATTTTTAGAATCAGTTTGTTCAAGTGGTGAAATTATTTAAAAAAAATCTTTGAATCCATCTCTGTATGTTTTGTGTTAATGCCCACAGAAGTAGAAGAATGTCAGCAGTCAGAAAATGCACCTGCCGTTGAATCTGGCTGCTTGGGGCCAGAGCAGCACATCATTCGAAGTAGCAGCACACCTGATGTCACTGAGCCGCTGCACCCAGATTCCTCTCAGGGTATGGAGTAGCTGCAGTGGTTAACACAAGACTGTGGATCCTGGCTGGGAAAGAGCTGCACGCCGTATAGCTTTCTGCATTTATTCTAACCCCACTCAATTTATTTCAAAAGAACTTGCTTTTTAAGTTGATAGCAAGGATGTGATTTTTGGCAATGAAATATTTTCACTGTTTAATACACTTATATAAAATTATGTATACTTAGGTGCACCTCTTTTTTAATGTTTATTTATTTTTTGAGAGAGAGAGAGAGAACGAACACAAGCGGGGGAGGGGTAATAGAGCAAGAGGGAGACAGAATCTGAAGCAGACTCCAGGCTCTGAGTCGCTAATGCAGAGCCCGATGCAGGGCTCAAACCCACAAACTGTGAGATTGTGACCTGAGCTGAAGTCAGACGCTTAACCCACTGAGCCACCCAGGCACCTCTAGGTGCACCTTTTTTAAGAGTAGCCTGTTTGAGGACTAGAGAGAGGTCCAGTGGGGGCTGGATTGGGGGGGAGCAGAGAATGCTACACCACAGGGTCAGGGAGAGAAGCAGAGTTAGGTAGGAGGCAGGGTAAGAGCATGCACGAAAGGGCCTTGTGAGGAGAGCCATAAAACTTGACAGTGAGAATGGAGGGCTGGCTGGACTTGTGAAAAACTTTATTAGCAGCCTGTGGACTCTGCTGAGGCTGAAAATAAGCACTGCTGATGGCATCCATCTACCCAGTGTCTCCGACACCTTCCAGCAAAGTAAAGAGGCAGGTGGTCAGACCTGTAAACAATGAATGATGTGTTTTACAGGGAAAGCATATGTTTCACTTGTGTCTGGTGGCAGTGAACATGCTTATTATTTAGTTTCAGTTTCATCAGTTGAGTAAGAAATAAATCAACTTGTTTATCAACAGGTTATCTTATAGCTTCATCGAAAGAGTAGGGAAGTATTCCCTCTTAGAAATTTTCTTGAAATAAGAAGATACACTAAGAAATAATTTGAGAAATATATTATCTGAAGGATTTTCTATTCTCTTAAAGGTTTGGTGTAGGACTGTTGTTACTTTTTTTTCTCCTTAAATAACTGGTAGAATTCACCAGTTTCCAGGAGTTTTCCTCTAGAAAGATTTCAAAAAAACCATTCACATTTTTAAATCATTTTAAGACTATTAAGTTTTCCTTTTCCAGTTTTGATTCAGATGATTTGTGGTTTTCCAGGAATTTATTCAATTCATATAGTGTTTTTCTAATTTATTGGCCCCAGATTATTCATAAAATCCTCTTCTGATCATTTATTGTTTATAGGCTATGTGATGTCCCCCCCTTTTTTTTAAATCACTGATACTGATAAGTTTGTGATTTCTTTCTTCAGTCTTTATTGTTGAGCAATACTGAACTACCTTACTGCTCTATTTTCCTGTCAGCTCACCTGGCAAACTCAGGCAGCTTTCCTCTGAGCTCCCTTTCTCAAGGCCCCCAGGAGACATCTTGTTGCCTTCCCCTATGCTAACATAATGTGCTAAGTGGACCTATTGGCTACACTGAATAACATTTAGTGCACTCTCTTAAAAGCTACCTGTGGGTCAAAGATTCTATAGAGTAGACTTGATCCATAGACTATCAGTTTGCCAGGTCTGTAACTCCTATTTTTATATATCTTAGAGTATCTTAATTTGACTAAATACTTGCATATAAATTTTTTTCTAATTTTATCATCTGAAGTATTTATTTTGTTAATTTTCCCCCTCAAATCTCTAGGTCAAAAGGTAGAAAATGTACAGACTTTGAGTTCTTCAGAATCCAAGCCTGTTCAAGAAAATAAAGGATATGTGAAGAAAGAACATGAAGGAATAACAGTAAGATATTTTCAAATTATATCAGTTTGTAGTTAAAAATTTTAACGTATAAATTATTGGCACAATAAACAAATTTATTAGTGACAGTGATACTTTCTTTTATAACATTTCTCCATTTAGATGGGTTATTGCCCCAAATAACCTTGAGAGCTCTTAAGTAGGCTTTCTTACTTCTTGTGTAAAATTATAGTCACATTATAAAAATAGGAAAAAATAGCATGAAAATGGAATTATCTTCTGGTCTGTACATGGCACTCTATATTTTTAAGCAGGTATCCTTGCCTGTCAGACATATATTCAGATTCCCTGTTCCTGAAACTGCTTTAGATAGCATGCTCCACCTGACAGGAGTTATAAGTGATTTTTTTGCAAAGATCAGTTATGATTTCTTTTTTAGAAAAATGTAAAATAGCATTTATTATCTCTTTAGACTGAATATAAAGTATAAAGAAGAAAAATAAAAAGCAGCCCATATTTTGTGCATGCAAGTAACTTCTGCCTAGTCATTCTTTAAAAATATGTAGTATATATTTATAGAAAACTCAAACATAACAGAAAGGCGCAAAATAAACAGAGAAAACCTCTCTCTAGTCCTCCCTGCATAGAAGATAGCCAGTTTTAAAATTTTCTGTTTTTATTTTTTTAAAGGGCATGTATCTTTTTATATGTTTATTTATACTTGTATATATGTTGTATATACATAAACAAACATGTATGTTTATGTATATTTTTATATTAATAAATGTATATTCTGTATATACATGTATGTATATTTCAACAATATATGTATATTTCATACATATATGTATGTTTCAATAATCACATGAATACCTACATACCCACCACCCAGTTAAAGAACTAGAATTTTTCCAGTGCTTTTGCTTTGGCATATATGTTCCTTCCTTGTCCCCTCAGAGAACAGCATTATGTTGGCTTGGTGTTTATTATGTTCTTGCTTTGCTCTATAGTTTTGCTCTACATGTATGTATTTCCAAACAATATTCTTTAGTGTTCCTTATTTATAAGCTTTATTAAAGTGATTTTATTGCTTTGTTCACTCATTTACATGTTTCTGTGATTTATCAATACTGTGGCATGTAGCCAAAGTTTTCTCTACTGTATGACCATCTACTGTGAATATGCCACAATTTATTTTCCCATACTCTTGTTGATGGACATTTAGATTGTTTCAACTTCTTTTTATTAATGAAAAATGTAGCTGTGTACGCTCTTATATGTATTTCAAGATCTACATGTTTTGAGATTTTCTTTATGTTGGCTATCTAGGCATGGAATTAATGAGACATAAAGTAGAAGAGTATTCTTTACAAGGGATTGTATGTTTTCTGAAGTTATTACATCACTTATATTTCTGCCAACAATGTGTTAAGAGTTCCCATTCATCCACATTTTTGTCAACACTTGGCTATTGTTAGATTGTGAGTCAGGTGGTTGAAAGTGGGATCTCATTTTATTTTGTATTTTTCAGATTACTAGTAAAGTTTAAAATATTTCCACATGTTGATTTACCACGTGTGTTTTCATGTGATGTCTTTGCTGCCATTATCTTACTGATTTTTTTTGTTGTTTTCTTTCTTACTTGTACTAATTCTTTATATAGTCTGAAGTGTGATCCTATTTTGGTCATGTTTCTGGCAAATATCTTTTTCCAGTGTGTGGTTTATATTTTTACTCTCTCAATGGTGTCTTGATGAACAGAAGCTCTTAATTTTGGTATTTTTGATTATTAATCATGTTTATAGTTAGGTTTTTTGAAAATATTAAAACACCAACCCTACAAGGATAAGAATATTTAAGTGTTACAGTCTTGCTCTACACATTTAAATCTTTTATCCATCTGGAATTGACTCTTATTTATGGAGGTAGGGATCTAATTTCGATTTTTTCCCACATGGATAACCACTTGTCCTTGGTCCCATTTATTGAATTCATCTTTCCTTCATTGATCTGAAGTGACAGCTTTCTCTCATATATATTTATCTTGACTCATTAATTACTTTGTCTCTCTGGCCAGTAGTACAACACCTTAATTTCTGTAATTCTCTCCTTCTTTATCCCTTCTCCCACCTTCTGTTGGAAGCTATTTTTTTTACTCTCTTTTCTCTTTCATTGTTGTTTTTGAGAGTTCTTCTGTTCATTATGTTGAATTGTCATTCCTTGCTATTCTTTGTCCTCACCCTTCAGTTTTCTTGCATTCTATTTAGGTGCATTTTCTTTTGGTTTTATACACTGTCCCCTTTTGTATATGCTATGTGCCATGCATCTTGTTCTTCCATTGCTTCTAGAAAATTCTTGGTAGTCATTTCTTCAAATATTGCCTCTTTTTTATTCTTCGGGGTTTTTTCTGGAATTTTGAGGAGAAATACATTTAGACTTTCTCATTTTGTCTTCCATGTACTTAAGTTTCCTTTCACATTTTCCACTCTTCTTGATCCTCTGGTACATTCTGGGTAATTCATTACATCTCTTTTTCAGATCCTTGTTTATTCATGTTGAGTTGGCTTTGTAATAACATCCACTGAGTTTTTAGTTCAACAATGATAACTTTTGCTTCTGAAAGTTCAAGTTAATTCTTTTCAAGCATTTCTTGTAATTTCTAATAAATTCTTGTTGCTTGCTCATTTTTGTGATTCCCATCTTTTATGTCTTTAAAATAGTCACAAATTACAATTCCAAATTATTTTTCTGATTGTCTGAAGTCCTTGGGGGATAAGGAGTGAGGTCTAAATCTAATATTTGTTGTTTCTGATACTCTTGTACATGATGTTTTATTTCCTTGTGTGTTCAGTGATCTTCGATTATGAGTTCCTAGCTGATGTATCTTAATCTACAGGAAACCTGAATGTCTGAAGTGACGAAGGTTCACCAGGACAATGTGCATTTGTTTCTTCCAGGAACCAAGGAGTGCTCCTTTAATCCTGGACTCTCTGTCCTTTTACCACTGGCAGTGGTAATAGTATATTTACCCTTATGTCATCCCTGTTTTTACTGCTCTGGTTTCTGCTCACATGGTGGGAGGAGTGTGGATCACTGGTAGATTTATTTTACTTCCCGTGAGCCTGAAATTCTTATGTAAAATCTAGTTCTATAGCGGGAGGGAATTCCAAACATCTCTTATATAGTCATAAGCAGAAGTATCCACTTTCTGCTTTTTAGTTGAGGAAAGATCCTGAGTATATTTCTGTTATCACATTAAGTATATATCCTCCTTCTTTAAGGCTGGGTATTATTTTTTTCATATACTGTTAGTCTTCTGGATATTTCATCCATAACCTACTTCTGTGTTTTAGCTTAATAATTACCCTGTCTTTTAATTGTATATCTCAGCCCCTCCTTTTCATTTGTTTGCTTGTTTAGTATTTTTCCCTTTAGTTGGCTCTTTGAACCCTAGACTTTTTATACACTTTACACTGGAGGACCTTAAATTCACATCTTCATCTTTGACTTAATCCTCTGTTTCACTCCTGGATTTTTGTTGCCTACTTACAATACATTTGCTTTGGATATTTAGCCCAAAGATGAAAATTAAAATATCAGAAATCTTCTCAAGTGTCATTACCCTTATGCTTCCTTATTTCCTTTCTTCCTTCGTCACCATCATTCCCATAGTTCCCTAGATTCATATCCTTTTGTGATTTTAATTTTCCTCCACTCCCATATGCAGCTCTCATATAAGCTCTAGTCTGTCATTCTGCAGCATTTTCTTATTTATCTTTTCTTCTCCTTTTCCACCACCAAAAGCCTTATCATCTCATTCTTTATTCACTCTAGCAGTTCATAGCAATTTTCTTCTTAATTTTAATATATCCCACAGATAACTACTACACTTGTCTTTCTAGTTGTATTTTTAATCACAGTAAACTATTGTCTGGAACATACAGTTGCTCATTTGTCAATATTGGGTTGAAATTTGCAAGCCTGATGTTGAAGACCCACTGGCAGCTACCCCTTTTAGAAGGTGGTCTGCCTTTTCTTCTTAACATTTTCCTTCTTCACTTGACTGCCTTGCATGGCTTGCTATAATCAGCTTCTTTTCCTGCACATAGAACTTGCTGATTACCACTCAGTGCTTCCTGCCTTGAATCCCCTCCTGCCTTCTCTCTACCACTTCATGTCTGTTGCCTTCTTGAACAGCTGTCCTGTAACTGTGAGCCGATTAAGGTAACACTTTACTCTGCATACTTTTTAGAGAGAGTTTACTTGCACATTTTGCTTATGTACACTGTAATCATTTTGTGTAATGTGTATGTTTTGTGTCTCCAAGCAAGTTATAAATTTTAGAGGATGCAGATTGCCTCCAGATCTTTTAGTCCTCTCTATTTAACACAGGCTTAAGTGTTGAGCGGTGCTCAGGAAAGTCTGTTGCACATTTGACAAGGAGGCACTGAGTAACCTTGATATGCCTAGATAGAGTTTACACCTTCCCTGCTTGCACACTCACCATTCCTGGGTTACTTAGGCCCTCTGCAAAATTGGCTTCACTATGTGTGTGTGCTCAAGCAGAAGTACAAATTAAACTTAAAATAAATTATTTCCATATAATTTGACATCCCTTCTCAGTAGATCAATTTAATTGGATGTCACTTGACAAAGGACAAAGCAAAAATTTCAGATCTTGAGTAATTTTATAATTCAATTATAGTAATTTGTGAACACATATCCTTCAAATGGAAAACATCATTCAGGGTTTTTTGTTGCTATTATTATTGTTTCTTTTTCTTTAGAAATGTAGACTAGAAACTTAGTCTTGTAAAAATTAGAACTTTCCTGTAACAAATGCAATATTTCTTTTTGTCTGAAGATCTTAGTTAGAAGAAGCAGCAGCCCTGCTGAATTGGATTTAAAAGATGATTTGCAGCAGACACAAGGAAAATGTAAGGAAAGACAGAAGAGTAAGTTCCAGGAAATGTGATCTGAGTTCATCCCACTTAAGAGCAGATCTTTTTTGTTCTTTTCTACTTTCTAACTTGTATCTTCTCCTCTGAAGAGTCATGGTTGTGGAATGGGACATTTTTATTCCTGGAATCCCAGGATTGATGGATGGTTAGTCAACACCTACAATAAATCAGGTCCAGTCCATTACGTGTGCCTTAGAGGCCTGTCCTTCCATCCTGGGCCTTTCTCCAGGTGAGGGGCACAACCAAGGTCAATGGATGGGTGAGCAAACAAACCCAGAAGGAAAAATGATCTTCCTCAGAAAATTTCCACAGGCTAGGAGCAAAAAGCTTCAGAAGCACGTTGAAGTCAATGGCATAAGTATTTGAAAAATGAAATTTAATTCAAATCCTTAGACATATTATATACTGTAAACTGTGGCCCTAATACTCTGCCTCCCTGAAGTCAGATGCCCAGCCACCCCCTTCTCAGATTGCATAATAGGCAGCTTCTGCAGATCAAAGCTGGTTTTGGTAGAGGCAGAGGAGCTCCTCTTGGCCTCTACCTTCAGAGTTGGGCTTGGAGTACTGTGGCAGATGAAGTTAGGGACCTAACAGGTTGGTTTCTGGGGCAATTTTCAGTTTATCTGGTGGCTGGGATAACTTGCAGTTCTTAGCAAGTGAAGAGAGGACAGTAGATTAGAAGCAGCAAGGCTGAGGGACAGTCAGCAAATACAAGGAGCAGACAGAATAGTGAGCAGACAGAAAGGGTAGACACATAAAACTGTTACGAAGTAGACAGGAGACTTGGAGGAGCAGACTGTCTAGGTCTGTTTTGTGTCAGATTAAGTAGCTCTATATGGCTTAACAGCCTTTGAAAGCATCATTGTATTATGACAAATTAGAACTTTTTAGTGTTTAAAGGGGAGAGAATTTCTTTTGGAGAAAATCTTTTGCAGTTGGACGCCTCATCCCCCAGTGAGCATGGATGATTGACCCTGGGTTTAGGTCTAAATATCGAGCTCAAGGTATAAAGCTCTTTAGACTCTTGTAGCTGGCAGAATAAACTTGCATTAGTGGTGAAATGAATTCCCACCTTCTTCCTCCACCCAGTCCCATTTTGTAGTTGAGTATATTGCAATAGAAAGCTTAGGGACCTGATCTAATCTTTTGGCTATATGGGATAACTGAATTGAAGACCTTAAAAAGAATGTCACTTGATGTGACATATTACATTCATGGAGCTTGTAATGACTATCAATGCTCTGCACCTGGGAGCTTTGTTTTGTTGGCAAAGATCCCTGCAAAGTCACCTTTTGAACCTCTGTCCCCTGAAAGATTCCTTCTGTATCAACTGTTTGGTTACTGGCATGTTGGTAATTGGGAGCATTCTGATTTCCAGCAATTTGCTATCTCAGACTTTGGTTCTTCTGTTGTGCCAGGTGAAAGTGTCAGCAGTGACACAGCTCTGGGCTATAACAATGAGGCAGAGCTGTCCATGAGCCCATGGCCAACATGTGAGGAAGACCCGGAACTGAGCACTCCCACAGATGTTGTGACTGACTCCGATGCCCGCCATTGGTTACAACTGAGTCCTACCGATGCTTCGAACTTAACAGGTAACTCCATCTTCGAAAAAGAGGCACCAGTGCTACCATTTTGTAATCCTAGAGTTTCCCAGTAGCAAGAATTCTAGGTATCCTTTAGCACAATGGTGATGGGGTGTAGCCTCCAACCAAATTGATGTAGTAGCCCCAACCATCTGCTCATAATCAATCATGAATTCTCAGAGTTCTATGTGGAGAGGATTCTAAAACAGTGGCCAGATATGGGAGGAAGCAATCCATGTCGACAACCACCGTCCACCATGGGAGGAAGTGGTGATACTCGTGCCAAGCCTTTGCCATCCCTGACCACATTTGCTTTACTCTGGAAACAGAGAAGAGTGATTTATCCAACTCACATGTATCATAAATCCAGAATAGTTTAGAGTTTGAGTAGTTTATTAATTAGTATTTTCTTTAATTTTTATAATAAAATATTTGACACATAAGGTAAGCTGTGACATATTTGTAAGTTATGGCCTTTGGTACTGAAATGATCACCAATGAGTCTACTACCAAACTTAAGAAATAGAATGGCTTCCACACCAGTGGAGTTCCCCATTGGTCCTTCTCAAGTCCTTTCCCTTGTCTCATCAGACTGTCACCCTGTCCCCAATTTTTCAGTAATAATTCCCTTGATTTCCTTATAGTATTACCACATATATCTGCATCCTCAAATAATGTATAATTTAATTTATATTTTAAGACTTTAAAAAAGTGATACCATATTCTGTGCTTTTGCTACCTTTTCCCCTGGAGTATTATATTTTTAAGATTCATGAATGGACTACAAAGGCAAACTTTCTGGTCTGCATCTGGGTTCTGCCAAGGAATTTCTGGGTGGCCTTGAGAAAGTTAATCTCTCTGTCAGTTTCTTTTTTATAGTCAGTAGTAATATCCCTATTATAGGGTTGTTGAAGGAATAAATGTGTGAACACGTAAGTCAAGTGCACGGAACAGTGCATACAGAAATGCTTTGCAGTTTTAGCTATACACACGTGTGCATGTGCGCAGTCACACACACACACACACACACACACACACACGCACACGCACACGCGCGCATCTTTCCTGATCCACCATATTCATCCTTATGTGCAGATATCTCTTAGGAAAACAACAACAAATAGAAAGCACAAGTTGAGTAAAAGGTGTTATTAAAATGCTAAAAATAATTTTTTTTAATTTTATTTATTTTAAGAGAGAGAGAAAGTGCATGCACACATGAGGTGGGAAGGGGCAGAAAAAGGAGCGAGAGAATCCCAAGCAGCTCCATGCTATTGATCCCAGGAACCATGAGATCATGACTTGAGTTGAAATCAAGAGTCAGCCACTTAACCAACTGAGCCACCCAGGTGCCCTGAAAATGCTAAAAGTAATTTTTTAATGATAAATAAAGGCTTATATTTTAACTTGTTTTTTTTTAACCAAGCAAACTTTGGTTTTCATTAATTATGATATAAAATTTAACCAATCTGTAATGATTTTGAAAATTGCTGATGGAGTTACTTCAAAACCTCATAAAATTTGTATAGAAAAGTGAATTGAATAAAATCTTTTATCTGTGAGATAGGTAAGACTAAGAAGTATGATCTTAATATGTAGTTAATGTCTGTATTTTAACTTAGATTAGATTCATGAACAAAGAAAAACAAACCATTTAGCTGTAAGTGAATAATGCATTGCCTTACAATACTGCAGTGCTGTCCTTAAAAAACAGGAGACATCTCTGATCTATGTATTAAAATCTGCCAGTGGTAGAAGTCTTGCAGAGTCAGTGAGAAAATGAATGGCAAAATCGTATGCTTAGTTTTATAAATTATTGGATAGCAATTTTTGCTTCTCAAATTTTTTATTCTTTTAAAAATAATTTACAATTCCTTATATATAATGACATAGATATATGTAATGATTTTAAATAATAATACTGTAAATTTATAAAGTATTTAACAGTTTACAAGGAACTTTGAGGCATCTTCTCTGATTCTTTATTGTAAGCAGGCCAAGTCTTCTCAATTCTGTTTTAGAAATGGAGAAACTGAGACCCAGAGAAAACATTGTCTAGCTAGAAAGTAATTACCACAGCTGCAGCTGGCCTCCAAAGTGTTTTGTGTCCAGTGCGGTGCTATGTCTACTCCTTTCTACTGCATTGCTGTTAAAATTACAATTGCAACCCCCTTTAAACTATTTGAGAATTATTTATGCATTTATGGAATAAATGGTTTCTTTGGGTCCAATATACAGATTATTCAAAGGAAATCATCATGGTACTCTCAAAGGCAATAGTGAATTTTCAGTAAGTTGAATTTACTAAAACAAGAACTAGTTTTAATTATTTTTATTGAAAAGAAAGAAAATTGGGTGCTTACTTCTTTTGTCTGTCCTTTGGAAAGATTAGTTTTTATCTCATTTCAGAGTATCCATGGGACAGGTCAATTTAATAAACTTGTGTGAGGTAATTTTATATAATGCACTCTATGTTGTGATTAACTCCTCCAAATACTTAGTTCTTCTTTGAAATACTAATATAGAGAATCGGTACACTCAGTTCAATAGTTCATCTTGTCATCTGTGAAAAGGACAAACTGTAATATGATAAGGTTTAAGGATTATCACAGCTCTGAATTTAACTTTCTGTTCTTAAGAGAACAATTTCTTCATAAATGTACAAATAAAACTCATGTTAGCCTGATCTTCAGGGCATGCAAAGAGAATGATCAAATATTTTGAGTGTATCTTTGTTTCTTGTTGAATAATCCTACCAATTATCAAATGTTTAGGATGACAAACTGCTTCTAAAATCTTGAAGTCCTTCATCACTAGCAAGCTAACAATTTTACATTTGTTTTCTCATTTACATTATTACATAAACAGCTAAATTTATTTTTCATTGTTTCAAAGTGGGGATTTGCTTTAATCGGGCATGGCAAGATGAAGACATGGAAATGATTGTTGTGAAAGAAGTTTATACTCACAGGTTCCTAGAAAAAGGGCTATAGCATGACATGCGGGGGCAGAAGAGAGGGACACATGGGGGAGCATCATGGTTGGTCAGGAGATGAGAGAGAGGGGAGAAAACGTAGGCAACAGCCTCTGTTGTCATTTCCATGGGAAAGACAAGGCTGGCTAAGGATATTTAGGATTGGCAAGTTTGAATAAATGCAGCTGACTTTGGAACATTGGCACTATCCCCAGTTGCCTGGTACCTGACCCTGGGGTGACTAGGCCTTGATGTGTAACTGGTGGATAAAGGAGGAGTTGGGAAGTATGAGTGTTGGATTGGTGGGTTTACATATGAAAGACACATCCCCTGGTGAACTGTTTGTTATCTCTAGGAATTAGCCACTCCTGGGAAGGGCAGTCTCTTCCTGATCAGGAAACCCCTAAGTGGCAGAGCATCAAGAATACAAAAAATAACAAAACATAGCTAATACATACATAAATTTTGTTCCGTTGCAGTAATGATTTTGGAGGGGGATTATTTATGACTTTATAGCTATGAATCAATATTGCTGCTGACCTCATCTCTTATTTAGCAAATAAAATTACAGTCTAGAAATACTGACTTTATGCTCTAAGAAATAAAAAGATGAATAAAAAGATGAGCTCCAGCTGACTTCAGAGCTTACCAAGAAGACAGAAGACATTTATCCTGATAGCCACAAAAATGTGATAAGTGTTAACAGAGTTACTTAAAGAAAGTTTTAATCACAAGGAGAGACAACTAAGACTAATGGAATGGAATAAAAAATGCATATTGAATACACACAGGAATGGAATAGTGATATATGAAAGATGTGGCATTCAGATCTGACAGGGAAACAATGTATTGTTCAACAAATGCCTGTAGGCAAGTATTTAGCCATGTGGAAAAAAATGAAATAGAATCCCTCCCTCACATCATGGTCACAGATGGATAAAATACTGAAATATGAAAAGATTTAAAAACTTCTGGAAGAAAACATTTTCTAAAAACATGTGTAAGACCTTGAGGTAGGGAAGATTTCCTTAAATGAGATAAGGAAGGAAGGAAGGGAGGGAGGGAGGGAGGGAGGGAGGGAGGGAGGAAGGAAGGAAGGAAGGAAAGGAAAGGAGAAAGAAAAAGAAAAGCTATTCATCATTATTAATCAATATCAATAAGAAATATATCAATCATTAATTCAACTTTAGCATAATTAAAATTTTTCATTATCAGGAAACTTTAAGAAATTACTAGGGTTTGCAGAACTCTAAGGGTAAAAGCCAACTTTGGTGCTTTTTCTTTCCAGGTTCCTTCAGGTCAGTGGTATATTTTAAGATAAGGTTCAGTAAGATATTGTAGCAAACATTTAGCTAGGTTGGAGGAGGGTTATTGGTATCCCCCACTGGGATATAAGCTTCAGGAGTGGGGGGGTTGTTGGTTGTGGTCACTCAAATTCTTGGCTCCTAGAATCATTCATAGCAGGAGAGAACATTCAGTAAATACTTGAATCAGTGATTGAATAGGCTTCAAGCTGCAGGCTACTGTTTTATTTAGTTAAAAACAGCAATTAAATTTTAACCTTTTTTAAAGCATAACAAATATATAAGATTCAGTTTCAAGATCTCTTTCATTTACTGTATTAATGCCTCCAAATGTTGTTAAAGAATTCTTTTTACCACTTCTGCTTTTAATTATGGCTGTGCATGTGAATTACATTCACAGTCACCTGCCACCAAAACTATTCTTGTGGGAACAAAGTTTGTTGGCATTTTCTGCCATGGTGCACATATTTGGCATTTTTACCAGGCTTTGATCTACTTTGAAGACATGAACTATTATAAAGAAGAATAGCAATGATAAATTTCATGGTATTGGTTGCTCACCCTCTAAAATCTTTAAAATGAACAATGTATGTCTAGAAAGCAGATGAGGAAGAGAGGGGAGTCAGGCCATAGTGGTGGTCAATAGAAAACCAACTGGCTACTTCTCTACTTTGATTATCAAAATCCAGGCCTGATTTTTCTGGTTTCAGAATGCAGGTGTTTCTGTTGAG